TGATCTCTTAGCCGTGTGCGGTGCCCCCCTCCACCATAGTCCTCGATAATATTGTAGTGGTGCTTAGGCGAAGCCCTGCGACAGTAGAACATCAAGATCGTCACCATGCCGTCATGCTGACGGAACTCTTCCCCGACATTCTGCTGAATCGGAGTCTGGGGATCGTCATCGAGCTGAACGTGTGCTAGAACTCGGAGGTGCCGTAGTTTCGGTGCTTGATCGGTCGGGCCGTGAAGACGTACAACTACATCAACCGCGTTGTGCTAACGCTTCCGCTTTCGGTCTACGAGGGTACGTGGACAACACTCTCCCTTCTCGTTGCTATGCATCACCATGATCTTACGTGTGCGTAGGAAAATTTTGAAATTACTATGTTCCCCAACAATGGCATCCGAGCCTAGGTTTTATGCGTTGATGTTGTGCACGAGTAGAACACAAGTGAGTTGTGGGTGATATAAGTCATACTGCTTACCAGCATGTCACACTTTGGTTCGGCGATATTGTTGGATGAAGCAGCCCGAACCGACATTACGCGTACGCTTACGCGAGACTGGTTCTACCGACATGCTTTGCACACAGGTGGCTGGCGGGTGTCAGTTTCTCCAACTTTAGTTGAACCGAGTGTGGCTACGCCCGGTCCTTGCGAAGATTAAAACAGCACCAACTTGACAAACTATCGTTGTGGTTTTGATGCGTAGGTAAGAACGGTTCTTGCTCAGCCCGTAGCAGCCACGTAAAATTTGCAGCAACAAAGTAGAGGACGTCTAACTTGTTTTTGCAGGGCATGTTGTGATGTGATATGGTCAAGACATGATGCTAAATTTTATTGTATGAGATGATCATGTTTTGTAACCGAGTTATCGGCAACTGGCAGGAGCCATATGGTTGTCGCTTTATTGTATGCAATGCAATTGCGCTGTAATGCTTTACTTTATCACTAAGCGGTAGCGATAGTCGTGGAAACATAAGATTTGCGAGACGACAACGATGCTACGATGGTGATCAAGGTGTCGCGCCGGTGATGATGGTGATCATGACGGTGCTTCGGAGATGGAGATCGCAAGCACAAGATGATGATGGCCATATCATATCACTTATATTGATTGCATGTGATGTTTATCTTTTATGCATCTTATCTTGCTTTGTTTGACGGTAGCATTATAAGATGATCTCTCACTAAATTTCAAGATAAAAGTGTTCTCCATGAGTATGCACCGTTGCCAAAATTCGTCGTGCCCAGACACCACGTGATGATCGGGTGTGATAAGCTCTATGTCCATCTGCAATGGGTGCAAGCCAGTTTTGCACACGCAGAATACTCAGGTTAAACTTGACGAGCCTAGCATATGCAGATATGGCCTCGGAACACTGAGACCGAAAGGTCGAGCGTGAATCATATAGTAGATATGATCAACATAATGATGTTCACCATTGAAAGCTATTCCATTTCACGTGATGATCGGTTATGGTTTAGTTGATTTGCATCACGTGATCACTTAGATGATTAGAGGGATGTCTATCTTAGTGGGAGTTCTTAAGTAATATGTTTAATTGAACTTTAATTTATCATGAACTTAGTCCTGATAGTATTAGCATATCTATGTTGTAGATCAATAGCTCGCGATGTTGCTCCCCATTTAATTTTTATATGTTCCTAGAGAAAACTAAGTTGAAAAATGTTAGTAGCAATGATGCGGATTGGATCCGTGATCTGAGGATTATCCTCATTGCTGCATAGAAGAATTATGTCCTTGATGCACCGCTAGGTGACAGACCTATTGCAGGAGCAGATGCAGACGTTCTAAACGTTTGGCTAGCTCAATATGATGACTACTTGATAGTTTAGTGCATCATGCTTTACGGCTTAGAATCGGGACTTCAAAGGCGTTTTTTAACGTCATGAAACATATGTGATGTTCCAGGAGTTGAAGTTAATATTTCAAGCAAATACCCGAGTTGGGAGATATGAAGTCTCCAACAAGTTCTATAGCTAAAAGATGGAGGAGAATCGCTCAACTAGTGAGCATGTGCTCAGATTGTCTGGATACTACAATCGCTTGAATCAGGTGGGAGTTAATCTTCCAGATAAGATAGTGATTGACAGAATTCTCTAGTCACCATCACCAAGTTAGTAGAACTTCGTGATGAACTACAATATGCAAGGGATAACGGAAACGATTCCAAGCTCTTCGTGATGCTGAAATCAACGAAGGTAGAAATCAAGAAAAACATCAAGTGTTGATGGTTAAGAAGACCACTAGTTTCAAGAAAAGGGCAAAGGGAAGAAGGGGAACTTCAAGAAGAACGGCAAGCAAGTTGTTTCTCAAGTGAAGAAGCCCAAGTTTGGACCTAAACCTGAGACTAAGTGCTTCTACTGCAAAGGGACTGGTCACTGGAAGCGGACTGCCCCAAGTATTTGGCGGATAAGAAGGATGGCAAAGTGAACAAAGGTATATTGGATATACATATTATTGATGTGTATTTTACTAGTGTTCGTAGCAACCACTCGGTATTATTGATGTGTATTTTACTAGTGTTCGTAGCAACCACTCGGAATAGAGAAGAGAGGCCAAAAGGAAGGAGGCGCCCCCCCCCCCCCTCTGGTCCGAATTGGACAAGGGGTGCAGCCCACTTTTCCTTGTTCCTCTCCCCCTCTTTCCTTCTCTCCTACTCCAACAAGGGAAGGAGGAGTCCTACTCCCGGTGGGAGTAGGACTCCCCCCTTGGCGCGCCCTCCTCCTAGGCCGGCCGCCTCCCTCCCTTGCTCTTTTATATACGGGGGCAGGGGGCACCCCATAGACACAACAGTTGATCATTGATCTCTTAGCCGTGTGCGGTGCCCCCCTCCACCATAGTCCTCGATAATATTGTAGTGGTGCTTAGGCGAAGCCCTGCGACAGTAGAACATCAAGATCGTTACCACGTCGTCGTGCTGACGGAACTCTTCCCCGACATTCTGCTGGATCGGAGTCTGGGGATCGTCATCGAGCTGAACGTGTGCTAGAACTCGGAGGTGTCGTAGTTTCGGTGCTTGATCGGTCAGGCCGTGAAGACGTACGACTACATCAACCGCGTTGTGCTAACGCTTCCGCTTTCGGTCTACGAGGGTACGTGGACAACACTCTCCTCTCGTTGCTATGCATCACCATGATCTTGCATGTGCGTAGGAAAATTTTGAAATTACTACGTTCCCCAACATAAAGGTCTCTCCGCCTAGTCTCCGTTCCAGTGATGCGTCTAGCATCATCGGTGGGCGTGTGGAGGTGTGTCTCAGGTGGATCTGTCTCTGGTGGATTTGCTCGGATCTGTTCGGCGTCCGTCTTTGTTCGTGTGTCTTCAGGTTGGATCCTTCTTATCTACACTCTTCATCGGCAACGGTTGCTGTTCTGGTGTTGGTTCTACTGGGCCTTAGTACGACGACTTTCCAACTGTCTACTAGAACAAGGTTTACCCGTCTCCAGCGAGGGAAGGGCGATGACAGCGGCGCGCCTTCGGCTCGCTTCAGTGCTTGTAGTTGTCGCTAGGTGGTCTACGGATCTTGAATGTAATTTTTATCATTTCTAGTGTTTGATGTACTATCATGATTGAAGATGATAGACGGAAGTTTATCTCGCAAAGAAAAAAGTTTGCCCCTACTTTTGCGTGGGTTGGAGTACTAGTTGCCTTGAATCCCTCCATGCATGTCACACGTAATCTCTCTCTCTCCTCCACTTAGGACCTCCCCAATGTTTCATCTTGTACATGTGCTAAGGCTACCATGTAGGTAAAAAAATCTGATGTGACAAAGTAATAAAGAGGAGAGAGATGAGTTTGGTGATCCCAGAAAAAACCAATGCCAAGCACATGAACCTAGGCAAAAGCAATTAAATGAAAGAAACCCACCAATGCATGAAACGAGGGGAGCTTAGCACCAACAAGTAAAGCACCTATGCATTATGGACATTAGACTACCCATAGTGGGAGTAACATAGGTGATAACATCACGCTTATCTAGGTAAAATAGGTGATGTGCCATGTATTTAATGAAGAAAGGGAGGTATGTGGTTGTGGTAACATAGCTAGTTACTGTAATATCACACATATAAAAAAAAAGATAAGTCTACAACCTAATAAATGAAGTGATGCATTGCATAACACATATTTTATAACCCACTGTGAAGATAGTAACATAGATTAGTAACATATGCATATTATTACTTTAAGTTAGTCCCCGTTATGTCTAGTCTTAGTTGCTAAACTTTTTAATATTCTTAATACTTTATCTAAGCACCAATGCATTGAAAGTGGCCTTATGTCCCTGCATGCAAACTAGGAAGTTGCCTCAATTAAGGGAATTAATTGCTAGCGAAGCGAAAAGGAAAGGGCAGGCTGGGAAAGGTGCCCTACTCAATGGGATCGCGCAGAGCATTTGAGAAAAAAAACAAAAAAAGTTATATTTTTTTAATTTTTAATGACATGCATAAACATTTTGTTAGTTCAATCTATGATCAAAATTTGACACAAAATACAAAGAGGACGGAGGTAGCATCTCAAAAACGAATAAGCCGAACACACAATGTTGCAATGAAACTCAAAAGATACAAGACCAAGAAAGCATAATATACTAGTCTAAAAAAATGGCAGCAGCAGTGAGAGACCCAAAAGAGATAAAAACAAATGTAAGGCACAAACAGTGTTGTAACTTATTAAGCAAGTCAAAATTTCTTGAATGAATCAACATCCATGACGCTCCGACCGTGTCTACAAGCCTAGAGGCTCTTCTAGTTCTTGCAACACACACACACACACACACACACAACAGACGCTACAGAGTACAGACACCACTCGTTTCTTTCACTCTTTAATAACCTGTCTCACCCTCTTACTTTAGGACGATCTATATAATCTCTCTCTCTCTCTCTTTCTCTCTCTCTCACTCTCTCTCTTCTGACGCTGCTATGCTCTCATCGGATCAAAACCTTGTTCCCCATCGGAGGGAGTGGGACGAAGCTCTTTCTCTCTCTAGCTCACCAGCTGCTGGTTACCGTAGAAGGGGTAGGCTCCATACGCAGGGGCGTACATGTTGGGGTGCGGCACGGGGGACGCGTAGCCGTACCCGCCATAGAACGGCGTACCATAGTACATGTTGTTATTGTTCCTCCTGTTGCCGGAATCGCCCCTAGACTGAAAACAAGAAAACAGTGGATTAGCATCATGGAATCCAAAAGACAAATACCTTTAAAATCAACAGATTCTATATACAGTTGACAGAAACAAAGAGTTAACAAGCACTATGATGAGGGGTAGCAAAGGCAACCTGTCTTAGCTGCAGGAAAAGAACAATTGCACGGTCTATTTTAAAATTTCAAGGACCAGTGCTGTGCTAATGTTTGCTCATGTTACGCACAAGTGTGCCGAATGAGACTTTTGAAAAGCAAATAGTAAATCATTCAAAGTTATCTATATTGGGTGGTAAGAGATAGAAGACCCCTTGTGACTAATTCCCTATACAGATGTCTGATTTAACAATGAAGTGAGAACCGAGCATCGCTTGGTTGTCTAATCCTACACTCCGCAGGTGGCTCAGGCCATTTCCTTCTATCAGAAAAATACCGCCAAGGGCTGGTCTAGGCTGGTCTCAACATTTTTATTTAACAACAGAGTGATGACTTATCTGCTATCTCTGAGCTCAAACGTTTTCCATGAAGGCATGGCATTCAGTCAACAAGCACCCTCAAAATGCAGGCTACAGAGGGGCCACAGGGCATATTACACAATCATGGCATTGCCCTTTATACATAGCCACACAGCACGCAAGGTATGTAAAACAGATCACAGGCTAAATGAGAGGATAGGAAGCTTGGTTGCTTAGTTGTACCAAAACTAGGTTTGCAAAATGAGAGCTGAACTAAACAGGATTAAACCAGTCTGCATGTTCAAAGTTTATTTGGCATTAGACTAGAAACTACTACCAAGCGTAAGGCTGCAACTATACAAAATAATTGTGTTGGAATAATTGCTAGCATACGGGACAAGAAGGAACAGATCCATTATAGCAGGAACGTTTCAATTCCCACATCATCAAGTCAGTGCTAGTTCGTATTAGTCATAAATCAATTAAACATGGACACAACAAAGTAGCCTTTCATGGGATATCATATAGGAAAAGATAATATCATATATGAAAATTATCTTGCAAGGCTAATTTGCTATAGTGCATCCAAATTTATAGTCATCCATAGGTTACTGCCAAATTTTCCAAACGTAACTTAAGAGTTTTCAAACATAGTGGCCATTATACTTTTACCAAGATGATTGGTTCAATGCAAACTCATACTATAGCAAGGAACGATCAAAGAAGGAAACAGTTAAGAGGCACATGGCCAACCTGTTTGTGTGATGGGCTGCGGCCCCACGAAAGGCGAACTGCCTGCTTTCCAATGACAGCCCCATTCAATCCTTGCAGTGCTTCTTCTGCGTCAGTTCTAAAAACAGTGGCACAAATAAAAGTATAGCTTGTAAGTTACATAGAAATAACCAGTAAAACACGCAAGAGCTTCAGAAACGTACCTGTTGACATACTGAACAAAGCCACATTGCTTCCCTAGAGGAATTTTGACAGAGGCAACATCACCATATTTGGCAAATGATTTCCTCAGCTCGTCTTCACTAACATTTGGGTCAAGCCCACCAACATATACCTAAAGCAGGTTGAGAATTTCAGATTAGAAACTAAGAAGCTACAAGGTTAACAAACACTATGGAAACACCAGTATACACACCGTTCTGTTATTTGAATCACCATCTGAATGGCCAGGTGTTGAGGAACCAGAATCACCTGAAGTTAATAGTCATTAAGTTGCGCAACAAGGGATTAAACCTATACGGATCTCGTATGAGAAAATAACCAATTCCATATTGCCCTTAACAAAGAAGCAGAATACATGACATGCTCCATATATGAATATAAGGACTTGCAGCAATTGAAGCAGTAGAACTAGCGCCGCTACAGGCAGTAGGAAAACTAGCACTGCAGTGGAAGTGGGTTTGTTTGTTTGATACTATCTGTTAATCTACACAGGTCATGTACATAGTCCAGAAAGGCAAAACAAGTACAGATAGATGATCAGTAACTTCCTTCATCAAAAACAGGATGTGTACTGAAAAACCTACTCCCTCCGTCCCACAATATACATAGCTTGAAAAACAATCCTATATATTGTAGGACAGAGGGAGTAATAGGAGAACACTACGACAACATCAGGGTCATACAAGGTATGAGTAGATTTTTCCAAGACAAATAGTGATAGTAATGGTAGGTACAATGTGGCCATAAAATGAGTCAAATTTAGTGCAAGTTAAAGCATTTGTACAAAAAATACAAGACAATCCACGAACTACCAAAAAGAAGGTTGTACAGTTTAGGGCTGCAGAACAACAGCGAAGAAGGGGCATACCAGAGGTTCTTCTAGGCGTTGCAGGTCCTACGCGAATCGGTCTAGTAGAGCAATAAACACCGTTCATTTCAGTCATTGCATGAGCTTTGTCAGTATCATCTCCAAATCTAACAAATCCATAGCCCCTAGAACGGCCTGTGTTTGCATCAATGATAACTTTAGCTCCTTTGACGGAGCGATACTTGCTAGCAAAAAGCTCCATCAACATTTCATCAGTAACATCAGCAGCTAAATCACCAACAAAAATTGAGTGATCAGAGACAACTTCTGATCGCTTTTCACCCATGCTATAGGATGCCCAGTTCAACTTAAAGGCTCGATCAGTGTTGGGCATCACATGACCAGTAAAATTCTGAAGAGCTTTGTCTGCTGATGCATGGGAAAAGAACTCTACAAAACCATATCCCTCTGATTGTCCAGTTTGCCTATTGCGTATAACTTTTATTGTTACCACCTATGAAGCAGATGTAGAGAAAAAGGTGAGTAACTAGT